CATCTGATGTCACAAAGGTTGTCTTTTTTTTTAGACTCTGTCTCATTCAGGATATGCCAATAACCCTTACTGAGGTTGATCTTCGTAAAGAACTTAGCCCTGTCTAGTTTTGCCATGATAGCCTCTGGGTTGCCCATATGTTCTGAGTCAAACTTCATCATGAGATTCAGCTTCTGGAAATCTATGCAGAAGTGGTTTGAACCATCCCTCTTCTTCACAATTACAACTGGTGAACAGTAGGCTGAATTCAAAGGCTCGCTGATTCTGGCTTCTAACATTACCTCAACTTCTTGTGTGATCAGGTCTCTCATCACATTAGGGCTTCCCCTTGACTGGGTCCCTGGTCATGATCTCAATCTTGTGTTGCACAAAGTCTGTCTTGCCTGGTCTATCTGTCAAGACATCTGCATGCTGGCACATTTTATCTTGTACCTCTTTCTTCTGTTTGCCAGTTAGTTCTTCACTGATGTTGACATCTTTGTACATCTCACCTCCACCCAATGGTCTTACATCTAATAGGTCTTCATCTTCTATGATAAAGTACCCATCTTCTGGTTCTGTGTCTGTGACAGCCACACCTGCAATGTTTATCTGTGCCTCAGTCACTGCATCCATTAAGTCTTATTCTCTCTCAAAGTACCTCTTCAACAGATTGGTGTGGTAGATCTTGGTTTTCTCATCCATTTTTACCTTATACTTCATTCTGTTGACCACTTCCTGTGCTTTAAAAGGTCCTTTTCACTGCAGGGTAGTTTGTTGTTGTCTATGGGTAGCAGAACAAAGACCTTCTGTCCAGCCTTGAAACGTCAATCCTTAGCTTTCTTGTCACAGAAGTGCTTCTGACTGCCTTGAGCTGCATACAAACTTTCTCAAGCAAGTTGAAAGGTCTCCTCCAGTCAGTTAATGAGGTCTAACACATACTGGTATATGTTCCTCATTTCTGACTCTTCTCCTGTACACAGTTCTTTCAAAACTTGAAAGGTAAAAATCCTGTATTTGCTTGTGAAACTTCTCATTAAGCAAATAATACTGCCTGCAGGTACCTGTTCCAGTCATGTGGTTCCTTCTGACACATCTTCAGTATACTCTTTAATGCTTTGACTGTGACTGCCTTAAATGCTTGCAGAATTTGCGAACCATACACTGTGTACAACACACTCGCATTTAACTGCTAGAGGCAGACTGTACCCTGTACAGTGAATCTCAAACAATGGGTTAAGACTAATGAATTTCTTAAAAAGTCCATAACATCTGGGGTTGTACAGGGTGGTAAAGAGCTTCCTAGTACTACTGGTGAGTCTGCACACATCTTGCATCAGT